TGCTGAATTATTTACAACTGAATTACTTATTTATGGATCCTTTACTCTTCTTTTGATTCGAATAACTCAGTAGAAAGCGGCGTTGGTCCTGCAACAAACTCGTCCTTCCTCTAGGTGTTTCAACCCATTTGTGATTGCGCGCCCATTCTTGCACGCATAATGATTCTTTGTGGACACACCTCGACAAAATGGGCTTTCTCAATCTTGTCAACTCTTGTCATAATATATAAGCTTCAAAAATAGTGCAAACGCTAGCCCATGCTAAACTTTGATGTAAGGTGTTGCTGCCATCCACGAAGGAGCACTATGAGCTGTGCTAGTGGTACAGCTTTGGAATGAGTACTGAGAGCTGATCTTGTGCAGCTTGAAACCGTAACTATCCTTTACAGTGTAGTGTTACGAATAAGGCAGGGTTAGTTCTCGTTGCGACACCAAATAGCAGTGCATACTGCCCAAGTCATTCTTTCTGCTATATTGAAGCATTTCTCTGAAAGAAATTATGAGCCTTTCCATATTCTACTTCATTTTCAAAAAGATTCGATGCTACTCCACGTGGTAATATTTGGTATCGTGGTAAATAGCCTTTTCTTAGGTGGGTTGGTGGAGATTCAAAACCCTCAAAGAAGTCCGTCTTGCATACTCTTATGTTTTTTATGTCTCTGCGAGTGTTATTTATGCAACTGGTTGGTTCATTCTCAGTCATTTAATTGTTTTGATCAAATTTCTCAAGCATATGTTAAGGACAACTGAAATATTTGGAAAATTCATTTTTCTTAAGTCATTATCTGGACCTACTAGCCTTTGACAAGATATACACTTATAACGTTCGCAAAGTGTTTAAAACGCAAATAGAGCCTAACAAATGAACTTTATCTTGCAGTAATCAGATTTACATCTAGTACAACACCTTTCTTGGACATAATATTCAGCTAATAATCGGAATTCTTCTAATGGAAGCTATCGATGATTTTCCCTTTTTTTCTAATTGGCTACATACATAGCATTCAAATATCTCTGTGTGTTAAATCGAATGGTGAGAGTGGACCATTCAGTTGTGTAAACAACTTACACAGAGTCATAAAAACATCTTTAGAAGGGGAAAAATGAACGTGGGTAAATTGATGTGAATCTTCAATAATCCACCCAACCAATTTCGAGATAACATTTCATTGAATTTTGGCATCAAAACTTTTCAAATTTTTCGATAATTGTTCCTTGTAATATTCGCTTTGCATGTTTTATTTGTTAAAGACTTACTTTGTTCTGATAATATACTATAGG